ATCAAGATTACCTCAGGACGCTTACCAGGACACTGGAATCAGCTGGTACACTGGCTCCTCGCCGCCACCTCACGGCCTTGGCCTGACTGTGCACCCACAGCCCCTCTTTTTGTCGATCGTCGACGCAATGTGCTCACGGCATCCCACGTCAGTGAGTACGTAGCCAGGCATCGGTGAGGCATGCCCTGGTGAGCCACGTCGTTTTTCACGCCGCCGTCGGCTATACACGGACAAGGTATGATACACAACGACGTAATGTTTGTTCCAAAACTACGAGTGCGGCCTCTGTCACCCATTCGCGATCCACCGCACTCAACTCTGAAGGAACTTAACGGCCCAACCGCCCTCTTGGCTTCAAAGACAAGGCCTCATCCTCGCACCCTCACACAACCACTAGGCAGGCTCCACGCCACGCCCCACCCGATGTCCCATATGACGAGGGAAGCTGCTGAAGCCTTCACCATTGTTTGCGAGTGCGTGTGAGTGTTGCAGAGCCTCGTCGCCCGCCACCTTTCCTCGACGTCACGCGAGGTTCCAAAGCGACACAACACGTCACGACATTGGCTTTGGCACACTCTGTGACACCTCAAAACAATACCTACCAGTGCCACGGGTCCTCGCTGCGACATCACGGACTTTTGGTTCCGAATGAGTGTCGAACATCAACCCAGTGTTATGCGCTTCCACATTACTGAGGGCGTGTTCGAACATATTGTTAGGGTGTGCACAGTCACCCCTCACATATTTTCTAAGCTGCCATGGACACTTTCAACATTCTCTCTTCGTGCAGTGAGGCTCACAAAGTCCATAAACAAATAAATCCATATGCATACTTCTTTGCAATGAAAACAAGGGGAGCATTTTACTGACCTATATACGAGTACTTGTATATAGATGTTGCAATTACAACCTGTTGTGTTAGCCTGCGCACGGTACGCGACGAGATCGTGAGTTAAAGACCAAATGTTTTCCGGACAACGTAGGTTATCCGGGAACGCCACCGCAATACCCTGCACGTCGCCCGTGGGGTGGCCTTTTCCCCGGCATGGGGACAGGTTTTGGTTCACCCATAAAATCATGCAGTGGTTTGCCTTTGAAGCCTTGCGCTTCTTTGTACACCGACACCAGCACTTCCGCATTGAAGTTCAACCCCCCTACTGCCTATTTTTATTTCTTGGTAAGATTGGGATTTTTAGGATACATTTGAGCTTGACACTGAAGCTGTATAGACGGTAATTGTAGTAATGGAGATCCAAAGAAGATTGGGTCTGCCTGTCATTATTTACGGCTTGTAAAGCGAGATCGCGACTCCTTTGATTTGTGTCGATTTCAAGCTTGCCTCCTGTCATTAATCGTTCGCCACGCGCTCCTATTTTGTCAGCAATCATAGTCGGAGAGCAAAAACGATCTATGTCATCGTGCCTCCTCCCATTTCATTTTCATTCAAGTTTTATAAATGAATGCATATATATGACACTTCAGTAGGCAGGATTCAGTTCAGTGATATAGTTTTGCTCTGAGATGCGTATCATGCGTTACCAACAGAATGACTTTGAGTTAAGTTACCTTTGGTTCCCGCGATCATTGATATAAATATCAGGCAGGAGAAGCTCTCTGCCTATGATCAAGGGCTCAAAGGCTAAAAATTGAATCACCAGAATGGTACATATGATGAGAGGGAGATACGAGCTCCCGCCCCCGAAGAGACCAGATAGATTACTGTGGCGCCTTAGACCGCTCGGCCATCTCAACATGAAAGTGAGGCAGTGGCATACCCCTATGATTAATTGAATCTCTTGGTGATATCTTGCACGCCAAGATAAACTTAAAATTACCATTTATGTCCGAACTCCAGCGTATTTAAATCCAAGGGTGCACTTATAATGAGTACTCTGGAATATGTAGGCGCGGCCTTTGATCACAAGACATCCTTGAATATTGTAGGAACCTTTTTGCAGCCGGGGAAAATTGAATGAGTTCATACATGTGGCCAGTGGCTTTAGGGCCTCGTTCAAGAAGGGAAGTTTTTCTGGTACAGCCTACAGGAGTGTGCAATAGGTATAGAATATGATGTTAGCCGACGTAGCAAATTGGCAACAGAATGCAAACCAGCGAAGACGACGAAGGTGTATTGGAACTAGTAATTAGCTCTACTTAATCGAAACTACTTTTGTGACAAATTTGGGAGTGACTTAGCGATATATCACACTGGAAATCAAGCAGAGAGAATTATACTATGCTCACACGATTGGTGTGCCAGCACGCCGAACATGTTCCGTGGAGAAGTGGAATTTGTGGTGGGAGTCATATATTCCACATAACGGTCCTCCATCGTGGGCAAAATCCAGATCAATGATATTTTATCTCCCAAGAACAGCGAGAGCTGCATCGACAAATGCCTTACATGAAGGCGCAGCCTAGAAAGATGGAGGGAGTGAGGACGTCCTTTTGAATTATTGATAAAAAAAAATGGTTCATCAGCGAGAAGGGGTAGGTATCCTCTTCCTCAAGGAACCACAAGCGGACTTCGCAGAATTGTGTTCGAAGAACTGATAGGTGCGAGGCAAATGTTGGATTGCTCTCGGGAGTCTTGCCCATCGGTGGCTAAATCCTGGTAGGAAATGCTTTATCCACAGTGCCGTATATTGGCAGATGTTCTAGTAGCGTCAGCGAGGATGGAAGAGTTTAGAAGAAAAGTAAAGTGGGACGGTAATGCAGACTCTGACAAATGAACGTAATGGCAACACTCGATTTCGGTAATTGCTTGAACGATATTTTTGGCTAGTTAAATAAATTTAACAGCTCCCTTATTTCTCTAGAAGGCATAGTCACCATTTGATGCTGTGTCGTATAACCATCCCCAGTGGGTACAGCACCATAAACTCAACCGGGCCTCCTCAGGACCTCATTAATCTATGGCTAAGTCATTGAGCTTCAGAATGTAGGTCCTCGTGGGCGTGAGCCATTGCAAAAGCAATATTTGACTTCGCTTATCCCACATAAGTCCCTAGTTTGACCATGTAAACTGGAAACCACGAATAACGATGGATCAAGGATGCTTGTTTCAACCGCTGTTCTCGATTCCATCAGCGCTCCGACTTTTGATTGACGCGAGTCTGAGCCTAACTAAGCCCGGTTTCAACTTCTACAACCCACCAACCCACCTTTCCCTCTGCTGTAGAGCGCTGTGGGCGAGAACAACGCCCTGGTACAATCCCGAAGCTTGCGACAGTTTTGTCGCGAATGAAAGAAACCTCTAGGATCCGTCATGCTCGGGAACGTTGTTCCTGTGGACATTGCAGCGCACTTGATGATATCTTTCTCATCCATGCATTCGACCTAACGTGCGGCCCAATGCATGCCCAGACTCCATAATACATATGTCTCCGCGGACATACGACTGACACCTGGATAGCTGCCGCTTCTGCAAGTGTCCTCCGAGCATTTCCATCAGGTATATGACCATCACAATTCAGTGGAGAACTAATCTTGGAACTCCGACCGTTACGTTCCCCACATCCTTCACCGTACCCCAGGTGCCGTCGGTATGTCTGATCGTGTGTCAAGATCCCACTGCTACGACTTGTGAACTGCGCCTTCGATACGCAAGGAATTTTCACCGCTAGAGCTCCTATAAATGCTGCGCTTCATGGACGACAGACGGCAGTTCTAACTTCTAACCGTACGCCAAAGCCGCTTCAACTAAATTCGACTTCAATAAATTAATATGGTCGCAATCTCCCAACACCTCACTCTCGCCTTCGCCTGGATTACGGCAACAAATCAGAAGAACTTCACCCAGCTCCGTACCATGACTTCACCTGATTTTGTTAGCGTCGTTGGACCCGCATCTCTAGGCCTCGCGCCGACAAATATTGAGGACTATATCACGAGGGAGGAGGGAGCGCCCATTGCAAGCTTCAACGTCAGTCTATCTCCCATTGCCGTTGTTCGTGTTGCTCATGCAGACGTTCTAAATTTTATAGATCTCGCTACCTGCGGATGACAAAATCGTCGAGGGAAACAACTCAATTTTCTTCGCCGTGCGTTTCGCTCTCTACCTTTGTTGTATCTTTTCTCAGCTCTCTTTGAATGGTCAGACCACCTCGAACGGTCGCACTACTCACGGATTCCCGTGGAAGAACGAGTACCTATATACGTTCACGTTCTCGGATGATAACCTCATCAAGAGCGTTACCGAGTTCTCGGACCCCACGATTGCGGCGACTGCGCTGGGGAACGAGTCAGTCGTTGCGAAGGCGGAGCTCAATTGCCAATGGGGTACCACTGGAAACACTACAGCGGTTTAGCATGGAGGGAGTAGGGCGGAATTGCAAGTTGTATAAATTGTACTTGCACAGTGCGCAATTTCTCATTTCTTTGAACAGGATCGTACATGTATTCAAAGAAGTTCATTCTTAAATCAATTGTATCATCTTAAAACCAAATCTCTGAATTTACTGCGTTGCCCCTTCAACCAGAGAAGAAACCAGCAAAATCATCAAGCCTGTAGAGCTATATGTAAGTAAGTTAAAGTAATGTGTCTACAGGTAAGTCAATAAATGATTAAAGTAGGAATATAAAATAGCGAACGTACCCTCAGTCGGTGGTAAAAGACTGAGGGTTGTGTGTACGTATATGTCAGCTATCTACAATTTTCTCGGAACACAGTTTCGCCGATCCGGCTAGGTTGTGGCTCAGTCTCGATTTAGTCTAGCGTGTGATGCCAGTAAATCTCGACCTCAACGAAGTCGTTGTTCTCTCCACTTACAGTTCACAAGTCCAAAGCCTCCTTTTTGATCGTGGGGTAGCCTCGAAACCCCTCTAGATATTCGATTTTGAAAACAATCATTCAAAGTGATATATGGAATTGCGGGCCTTTCTGGCTTGACTGATTAAGTCTTGCCTATGGATCAATACAGGACCAAGTTTCTTCCCTCATCATGAATGGTCCTCAACCAGCTCAAATACTTTTTATCTAAATTTGCTAATAGCCCACATCCGGTATGGTGTAACGGCTAACATTGCCGCCTTTCATGCATAGGTTCCGCGGCAGCTCGGGGTTCGATTCCCCGTACCGGAATTGTTTTCTTTTCAAAAACAGCTACAACAACTGCTTTACAGACGGCTCACCACTCCCTCCTTGCAAGAAAACGCACTGTATTTCATATATCCAGACCGTGGTTACAGCATCTTATCTAGCAAAGCCCAAGGGTCGAATGGTCTCCATACACTGATTATGTGGTCGTAACATTAAGGCTCTGGACTGCGTAGTATCACTGATGTCAAGCCTGTGTCAAGTCCACAGCATTGACGAGCTTGCAGCTCAGCCACATGCACTCAAAAACCATGTTGGAGGCTCCAGAGGCCTTCCCTGTCATAAAGGATGTGGGTTGGAGCAGTAGCGTTGTGCCGGCTCAGGCTTGAGGCCGTGAGCCGGGCCTGGCCGGGCCGTATACCAGGCTCGGCTTCAGATTTTGCAAAGCCTGAGCCGCCGGCCTGGGCCGCGGCTTCTGTAAACTTGGTATGTTCAGAATTTTGTTGGCTCTTTTGGATCTTTTGGCCTCATCTCACATCAACGGACAGTTTGCACACAATTGTAAAAGTTGATTATTGCATGGCATTTGCTGATCAGACACAAGTCGTGATAATGCTCCCATTTTGGCACTCAATGGCGTGAACCACCATCAACAATTGTTATTCTTCACCACACACACAACGCGTTATTTTTGGCACCAGGGGCTACGGTTGAGTAGTTCACGCACACATGCACTGTGTATCATGGGTTACGCAGTTCAATATTGGTCTAGCATTGCACATTTGAGGTTTGTGCTCAAAGCCCCGGCCTGGACCGAAGCCGAGCCGAGCCAGGCCTGAGCCGTTAGTCAGGGCTTGGCCTGCAATTTCCCCAACCCTGAGCCCGAGCCCGAGCCCAAGGCGGGGCTTTCAGGCGGAGCCGGGCCGTGCACAACACTACTGCATAGAACCTACATGCTTCTTTCATAAGTTCACCACTGTCGTTTTCCTCTTCAGATTTATACGACAAGCACTGTTTGGCTTCACTTTTATGATAACAAGCCACACAGCTGAAGCACTACGATCGTCACGTCTGTAGCCCATGTCTTCAACCTTTTCATGCATCTCATCTCATAGCGGGGTGTTCCCCCATGCAACGATCTGCGATCCTCGCATGTGCTAGCAATATAATTATTGGTAAGGTTGTATGAGTGAGTGGTGCAGATGCGAGTCCAGGGTTGATGCTCCGGAATGTTTCTACATACGCTGACAAGTCAAGGGCTCGACAATCGGTACTCGATGAGCTTCTCTCTGTTGACACGTCCCTCTGCGCCTCAACTGGCGGTCAGTGAGGTTTATGTGCAGGAGTTAAACTCCATGCAAGACGAGAATTGACGAACTTTGACAGTTCACAGGAGTCGAACTCCATGTGGGGCATGAGAGACAGGCACAGAGAACTTCCAAGCATCGTGGCAGAGCCAATCGGTTTATATACTCCGTGCAAGACAAGGATCTACGAACTTCGAACGACTGTGCACAGGAGTGGATCTCCGTGTAGGGTAAGAAGAGGGCTCGGCGAACTTGCAAGTGTTGTGAAAGCCGATGAATGCGTCCAGGAGTTGTTGTGACATGTCGGTATTGTCTTGAGCTCACGTAGGAATAGTCCTAGGCTACGTCGGCACATGAGAGTGGGGTCGAGGCACTGTGGGGCTCGACGAGCTGCTCCCCCACCTACAGGCGTTCGTGAACGACGTTGAAGGCTCCATCAGCTTTCCCCGTCATATAAGACGTGGGGTGGGGCATGCATAGAGTCTGCATGGTCGTTTTGTGAGGTTACGGGTGGCGAGTCGCTCTGTGTGTCAAGTCGATAACTGGACCAGTGTTCGGGTGGCGAGAAAAATTCCCAGGATTGGCAGGGCATTACCTACCAATTCCCTAACAAATCCTAGCCAACGATACGCGACACGGGCCACCGTGTGCACAGTCGGGCGTGGGACAGTGTGTTGGCCACAGGAAGCAATTCCGTGAGGAAGAGGGGGCGAGAGAGGATTGTCCTGTATTTGGGGCATCGTTCTGGGTCCGCGTTCAAGTTGTCCGTGACCAGGGTGGTGTGGCAGCACTCGAGGGAGGGGCGTTGTTGGTGTCACCGCTGCTCCGTGTTGTGCCAAAACGCCGTCAGCTTATTGTTGGAGGTATGTGGTATGTTTCCACGCACCTTCCAGGACTCCTGATGTCTGGTTCTTCCATCCTTTGCTTATGTTGAACCCCACCTTGCTGAAACTGCTCGCACACAATTGCGCGCGGTCTAGTTGCCGGAATGCACCAGAAACGCATGTGGATCGGCCATAAAACTTGAAATAAGAGGAATGCATCCCAGAGTGCACTGCACACCCTACGACGCGGGAGTGAGGAGGGGATAGCCACAGCTGGTGAAAGCAACCATCATCGGTGAGACACAAACTATTGTAAATGAGTCCCCCACGCTTAACATGAAATAAACAATTTGGTCGCCTGCTTCGATCTAACGCATTTTGCCTTTGAGGCCTAGTAAATGTGACATAGACACTCCACGGAACGAAATGCGCGACGTACTCGTATTCCGATATATAGTCAGGATTTTTGCAAGCCTGTCTTCAAATATCCATTGGGGATGACCAGATCACAGAAATGTCTCTGTGTTTTCCCGTCACCCAGTGTTCACTAGCATGAACACTGACAATGGATTCCCCACCGAAAGATAGACCGTGGCAATCGTGCCGAAATAAACGAAGGTGTTAACCCTTATATTGACGACCCGGTCTCATATTTCTACGTTAAAATTCAGCGCCCACAGGCAGTTAGCCGACGAGAACTTGGGAGTTCAGTAAGGTCTCAGTCGGAAAGACCGTGCTTAGGTAGTATATCATGGCTGGCTAAGAATTGAGGGGGGCGCATTCCATTAGAGGGCGCCGTGTTCCTTGTCTTCCTGACGGTGCTGCTACAAAATATGACCGAATCGAGGGTTGGCTGGCGTTCAAACACAAGGATTACAAATATAGGAGATAAAATGACGATTCACCTTGGCCACACGTTTGGCAGAGAAAAAGTTGGTCATAGGCTGGTGTGAGGGCCGAGATTTGATTCAATTGTAATTACCATTAGATGGTACGAATATTCTAGCGTACAAAAAGAAGGTACCAGCTATCAAGAACATTTAAAACGGTCGCTGGTTAGCAACTTTGAGCGATATGGACTGACAAGGCATATCGGTGATCATGTTGCTTCCGTGAGATTTTGACAATGGGATCGAGGACCGTTCCAAGTTTTTCCAGGTGTGCGGTTGGGGCTGCCCAAGGGACCAGCGTGATATTATGAAAAGCATCGACGAAGGTTGGCTCTCAATATGGGAACCAAGGGACTAATCAATAAAAGAAAGGCGTATGCATTGCAGATGATCAGGTTCGTAAGAATATCGAAGAAATGGGGCACTGACGTGAGTACATACGACTCATGAGTAAGTATAGTGCGATGTGATAGCAGTAATGCTGCGTCAAAAGTGTGCTGGGCTGTCTAATAGTGCCATCGATCCCTTGATGCTTCCAAGAACTAGGAGAGATCAGCGTGGCATCCTGTGAATATCTCCAGCCATACGCAGTTGGGTGATGCGCTCCGCCACCAATGCTTAGACTTATGAAGTCGGTATGGTCTAATGCAATCATTTCAACATTCACGATACATAATAAGATGGTTTTGACATAGTAGGTATACAGCAGTATATATCAATATAAATGATATCCCATCAAGATTCAAAATTGGTAAGTAAAAGCCTGATGCTCAGAATAACCACCATTTAGTTCCAGGGAACCTCCGTAAACAGCCAATACTGGGGGCACGTGCTGTTGGACTCGGACGTCTGAATCCAAGCACCGTCTGCTTCGTTTCCCGCTCTCAGATCAAGAACAGTCTCGCTGGGGGCGCCATGGACCCATATCCTGGAAAAGTATTGTCGAAACTCGCAGAAAGCAACAAAACATCAGAGTAGTACGCACCTATATTCCGCCCACCCACGAGTTTTCCACTGGGTAATGTCCCATTCGCAGGCTTCCTTAGAAGCAATCGCCCAACCCTTTTTGTTGCGATCAGCGTAACCAAGATATCTTCCGCTGTCGTCCATGCATTTCAATGTGTATGTATCATCCCTGACTTTCTGTGCAAGGAACTTGAAGTACTTCTGAGTCAGCTGCACCAGGAGCTTTATGGGGTGGTCTGCATACCGTCTGAGTTTCCATGTTCCTGTCCAGGAAAGCAGCAACTAGAACAATGGTAATTAGAACGACGATGCTGTAACCACAGGGGAGGAATGTGACGCACCCCAATTATCATCCGTCAAGGTGACAACTTTGCCAGAAATAACGGTGATGATCTTGTAATACTTTCCATCCCGAAGAGTAGGCATGTCGGTGATACAATTAGTTTATGGGACCGAGCCTCATTCTTATAGCTGTAGGGTAGTGAATAAGATTTTTATACTGCACTGTGAGATAGATGAATAGTGTTAGGCGCTAAATCATGGAATAGACCCTTGGATCTGCCATCATTATCTCCAGTAGTTCACTCGCAATTGGCATTGGCCGGAATGATCCATGAGAATGGACAGGCCACGAAAATAGAATATAGTACATGTTTGTCAGTTTTTCAGAAAGAATGATTCAAATTTCATCGGTATATGATTATTCACGAAGAGTAAATAGGTGAATGAGTGCACAGGTTAGGGAGATAACGCGTCAATAGAGTGGTATCACCAGAGTCTTTAATATACGGAGCGCGAAGTATTAAGGATTGGCCCTGATGCACGGCACTGGGCCAATAAGAACCACCACTACAATTGGGTGGTCGTCCTTGAACATAGAACAGCTGTACTGGGTGGTAAGCGCACAGAAGTGGGAATAGGGCTGCTCAGTTATAAAAGTTTGTGCTCGTGGTTCGTGCTCGTCGGAGTCCCTGTACTAGAGAAGGAAGCTAGCTTTGTTTGTCACACTTTTGCAAACGACACCTTACCCGTAGCGTTAACTGAATTCCATCATATGG